AAGCCCAGCCTGTTGTTATCCAAGTAGTCAGAATTATAAAATGTCAGTTACTCGCTTTTACCCATTCCTTTGAATAATGCCAGGCAAGGACAGTCATGTTTAACGAAAGCTTTGCGTTATTGCTTTTCAAAACTGACTAGCATAGTCAAATCGTTTAACATCAAAATAGCGTTATAAAAGCAATTTTCCTCTCATCAGCGCAGATATTTCAGAAAGAATGGCTAGTTCAGACGGATAAAAATGCGGGATCAAAAATTTTTTCATACGTGAGTGATCCTCAAAAGCAAATTTCTTTGTTTCAAGCAGCTGTCTTTTACTGTAGCCCTGTCATTGTGCGAAATCCGGTTCCAGCGAGCTAAATCCACATAACAAGCCGGACAGCGGTCATCAATAGATGTTGAAAAGAACTCCGTACAAAAAACAATGGATCGGCAGATTGTGTTCTTCTTGTTTTATCAATATTGGCTTGGAAAATATCTCAGCTTCAGCAAAAACGAATATCATTTGAGAAATTGGTGCAGACAAATAAGTGTAGTCAGGTTTGTGAAAACGATTCGATATGATTTTTGAAGGGTAAAAGTATAATCTTCAGTGCGAAATACATGCAATCAAAGAAGCTATTCATGCTCATAGCATTTCCAAAGAGTAAATACGAGTCTTCTATCCTCCAAACGCAAATGATTTGTACAGAAACTTGTCCAGTATTGCGAAAAAGAGAACAAACTAACAAATTAACTAACTCAATTTTGCAGAAAGCAAAGTTTCGAGTTCAAAGGATGGTAAAATAGGCTTAAGGAATCAGTATTTTGATCAAAGAAGTTGTAGAAGAAATTTTGTTTCATTTTATAGAGCATGATATGTGCGAGAATTTTTGAATTTTGGGCAAAAATAACAACGAAATGATATTTTTTATTCACGTTAGTCCATTAGCAGCTATTAGCGCTCAAGAATAGTGATTCTTGAAATTCCTAAGTGAATATTTATTTAAAAACATCGTAAAACTGATGCGCCAGAATACAAATGTAGTTAAATGCTTAAATGGAGAAATATGAATACATCGCATTTTTATATTTACTTGCGTTTTTGGCGCATCTTTGGATGTATGAAATAGAATAAATAAATAAGTAAATAAATAGTGGAAAAGGCAAAAACAGGCTTGATTGAGCTTTAACTCCATACCGTATCCTTACAGTAATTCTCAAAAAAAAATTTCAGATGGCTTTATTGGTTTGAAGAAATTACTGATGCACTAATATTACTATTAAGAGTGATCAAAGACGAACGAAAGATAAAAAAAGGATATTATTGCGAAGAAAAGTACCGGATGTACTTGTTTTGCATTGACATATTTTCCAAAGTATGAGGAACAGTTTTATGAAAAAATTGTGTATTCAAAGTGAAAGTAATTCAAAATAAATTGGAAATTTGGAGCGCCACGTCCCAGTGCGTGAGAGAATCGAACGAAGCGAACACGACTTCTTCGTGTGGCCAGGTGTGCGCACACGCGCGCGTAACTCCCTAATGAGGAGGTCAGGAGGCGAAGGCGCGGGCGTCTCGTTTCCAGGGCGAGTTTTTGTTGAGACGCGCACGCTCCCCCCCCCCCTCGCCGTCCTCCTTGCATTTTCTCTATTCTCGTCAGCTAGAGTCAACATAACGCATTCCCACCCAGATACGACAGGACCGATAAACTTGTTCAGGGGAAGCAGATAATTTTATAGGAGCTGCTAAGTGTCGTTGGTTCCCAAATTTGCGCTGAAGCGGAGATATGCGAGCGTATCAGCGTTGCGGCTGTCAGCACATATCTGTAAACTAACTTTAACATTCTTAATGGCAGCATCCTTATGCGATCGAAACCGCCTGCCGACTGCCTCGCGCAGCTTTGGCTTAAGCAGCCATATGACCTAAGCATTGGCGGCAGGCAGGCTAGCTTCTCGCGCAGCAGCGGCGTAACAACACGCAAAACAGACGTTGCTTTTGAAACAGACTTTAGGTAATACATTGCTGCCTGCCAGCGCGAAAGTGGAAAAGAGATTTGCTCGACATCTTACTTTTTATAGTCAAAATTATTCCTTGGTGAATAACATGCCTAATTACTGAAATGTAAGTCTTTAGGTTAGTAAATTTGCTTTTATGGATTTCGGTGGCAAAAGCATTATCCGAAAATTTGGAAATTTTCCTACCACACCGAGCTATTTCTCACTGCTTATTTTTGCCACCGAAATCCACAAAAACAAATTCCAGCCTAAATTTAACACATTTCAATAGTTTACATGTTATTCACCAAAAATCAGTAGGATCCTCCAAGATGGACATTCTAAGGATGTGATATATCACGAATGGATTATGCGATTGTAACTCAAGTTTTATTCAAACTATTTCACAGCTTGAGATGACGTTAGCTGCCCCAAGACCTGAAATGGGGTGCGAAACGGCTAGTGATTAATTCATGAATTAGGAGTCTCGAGAACACTAAAGAACACTACATGCGTATGTTCGAGTTCAAATTCGTACTTTCACTCATTTCATATGCTTAAACATTTGAAATAAAGAAAGAGGCAAGTTCGAATAAGTTACGTATTTTTGGCTTGGCATTTGTTATGTCTGTGAATGGATGATGACATATGACCGATACTGTTTTTGTTTCCAAATTTTGGAAGGAAAAGTTTCTTTTTCTGGCCTTCTGTATGCCTTTTCACACTCAACAAAAAATACTCAGAACAAAACATAAAAATAGAACGTCCACCCTTACTGTAAGTAAAAAATTCTATTTGTCAATTTACTGTTATTTGTGGATCGTATAATTCACTTGTCTAAAAGTACTAACTACCGTACACTTGTCGTTCAAAATGAGTTAGGCTTTATTTCCTCGAATTTACCATTTTAAACCGGTTCGAGGTAATTGCAGTCAGGAAACATGGAGAATTTCTGACATTGTTACTCAATGCTCAATTTGCATTGACAGAATTGAGTGCTGGCCTAAGTTAATTCATCATGCTTTCATAAAACCTAGAATTATTTTATTTTCTATATGATGACTGAAAATAAGGGAGAAACTCGTACATAGAATCGCAAAAACTCAGCATGTGATGCTTGCACCTGACTAGGGCACAAACATGATTGATGCTGCTACATAGCGCGAAAAATTTCTAAAAAATTTTCAGATTTATTGTTCCAACTCACACAAAAAGGTAGTGTATAGACACAAAAAATGCAAGAACACAAACACAGCGTTTCCTACCTGTTGCTCAAATATTACCCGAATAACAGGAAATTTATTTCATTTCCGTAAACGTCGCCGGAATACGGTCAATTGAAATTTATTAGGTTGGAGCATAAGTTTTGTACAATGATTTGCGAGGTCATAGTCTTTCCGGATCGAACGAGTTCGGTGATTTACTACGATTGAAATAAATTCAAAAAATTATGTCCTTTTGGTGCTCTAATCAGAAATCCACACTGATATGCCATGGAGATACAGGCCCTCAAATGGAAGTAGTCGAATCGTTTTTTTTTCGATTGGTCGCCAAAAATGCTAAGAGGTCTATTAGAATTTATTTTTACTTTTCACTCTAGTTTCACGACCTTATTTTATTCGTGTTAATTGGATGTACATAAGGAATGTTATATTTTTCGAGGTTTTTTAGTAGAAATTTCGCTTCGGTTCCTTTCAAAATCTCTAATATGCACAGTAAATATCATTTGTTAAGAATTGAAACGTTTTCTCGGAAGTTTCAGTAAATTCTTTGATATTTTTGTTGCAAGACTTATAGATTAATCTAATGAGACTTATGTAATTTGTCCCATAAGCTCCGCATCAACCTTTCCCGGTAATCGACAAGCCGAACCACGATTTCTTAACTGACGGTAATTGAAAAAGATACGGATACAGAACCATTGTTGGCAAAAATTGGCGAAAGCTAAGAATGAAAAGCCTCAAACTGTACCTTATTTTTGATTCCAAATATGCTAAAAAAGCTTGATTTTATTTGTTTCAGATTTCGCGACTTGCGCTGTTAGCAAATAAATCTGTGCCGGTTTGACGCCTTTATCCAAAGTTCTTTTTGCTCTTTGACTAGATCTTCTAGTTCTTCGTGAAGAATTTTTCGATATGCATAATAAAGATTTTTTAGATGAAATTGTATCAATGAATCAGAAGCTTAATAGGCCATTATCAAAGTTAGTAAATTTTAGCTATCCCTACACACTTGCTTAATTCCAAACGGTACGCTTTCTACCTGTAGGTTTACTTTTTATACAATTTGTTTACTAATTAAAGCGAAAGAAAAGGATTACACTCTATAAATTTTTTATCGGCGAAAAATCTGCAATTGCAATAAAATCCAAATCCGTCTCAAATATAAGTTCTATGGGCTCCTCTTCTAATTAAGAATGATTTAACCATGTCTCAGAGAACTTCCAAGAAAAACGACAAAAATCATTTTCTTTGCTTTTAATTCTGGGATGACTAAATATTTTCAAAGCGTTCTATCAGTGCGAAATTTTCGAAGTAGGACTAAGCATAACATTTTTACTTATTGAACCTTACGATTATCCCATATCAATAAGAGCTTAGAAACCTATAGCTTTTGAGCGAAAAAATATTGAACCCTGACAATCTTGTACCCTGACCAACCCTGACAATCTTGTGTTAGTAGGGTATAATGTTACTAGCAATACATAAATTGTAAAACTACTGCATTTCAACGTTAAATGAGATACTCTTAGTAAATTCTAATAATCACCCTATGATACTCTCAAAAAAATTGTGGCGCAAAAATTTCCCGTTCCTGCTTGTAAGTTTGCAAGAGAATATTCAAGCAATAGAAGAGTACTGGGTTTCAGCTTTCACTCGTCCCCAGCCTCCACCAGTTTGCCTATAACTTAAAGCTCGATAGAAAAGTCTGAGTTTTGAAATAGATGATTATTGGACAACAAAAAATTGATACGTAACGGCAAACTTTATTCAACATAACAAAGAAATTATGGCGATTTATCATGAAGCTGACTGGAATGAAAGAATGAAAGAAACCGATGTGATGTGGCACAGAAAAACGACTAGACACGTGCGTCTGCAAGTGATCAAAAACGAACAGATGTGTGTTTAAACGAGCCATAGGCGAGAAGAAAAACATTGCACATGAGCACTAGAGCACAGTTTTGAAAGCATACAAGTGTGTTAAAATCGAGCTATAAGTTGTCCTCTCCCTCTAATCGCATTAGTTCGTCGTAATACTGATCGACATCCTGCCACTGTGGAGGTGTGTTAGGATCGATATCAAAAGTATTACATTGAAATTCTTCGAATTGTCCTACCATGGGCACCGCTGAAACAGAATGGACCAAATGAAAAAATCAAAAAGAAATAACTGAAAAATCTAGTGGATTTGAGGCAAGATTTGCTGCAAGATTGGAATGTAAACTGTTATAACGAAGCAAAGTTCTGAAGCTCTCAAAATACGCAATTACAGTATCAATATATAAAGATTTAAAAAAGGGGAAAATTAGTTCCAGCTAGTGAAGAAAACTGGTCCAAATTACTTGAAAATCTTGTCGAAATTTTCCTAATTTTTTCCAGCAGAAAATTATGCCAACATTTTCCTCGTATTTTCCGTAATAGCCGTATTTGGCAGGTCCATCATATGTCTACCTAACCAATCCAATCTTGATGCTGAAAAGTTTCACTGTACCCCGAACGTACAAGTGAGTTTAATTTTGAGAAAAAAAATACGGATTGTGATAGATCCATGGTTGTAACGTACATGGCAAAACTTGCAATGTTTCAATTATTCTTGGAGCATTTTATAGAAGGTAACGATTGTATTACTGCCCCGCCGAAATTTTAACCGCTCAGTACTTCTCTTAGAATGGAAACCTTTATTTACGCTGTCGCTGACGTAATTCACGAATATGCCTTTCCAATTCTAGCAAAGCTCTGGTAGAGATCATTTCAAACAATTAAAGAAAAAGCTTTTACAAAACATTCTGCGGTTGTTGAGATCCTTTCATCAACTTTAGACCAATTTACTAAGAATTTGGGCGATTCGACTTTGGAGACCAAACACGAATACTATCCATGTGGTTTGTTAATGTTTTCCGTTATCTAATGTGATTACTGACCATCCATTCCATCGAGATCATAATGGCCCATATCACTATGCCAGCTATAGTCGCTTTGTAATCCTTCGTCGGATGACAATCCAACGTCTGTATAAGAAGACTCGGAGCGTTCCATCTGTACCGAAGAGCCCGATGACGAGTTTCCCTCGTCTGTGACAATCAAAATTTTCTTAACAAATATCGTTGAACCAAATACTTACAATTTATAAGGACTTGGTCGTCGAAAACTGATTCGCCATCGTCAAGGAGGGAGATATCTGGGAAAAAATGAAAATAAAGTCTTAGGCACCAAATGGGAAATAGATGAACGAACCATGTGGAGCAATAGCTCTTCTTTGACTTCGTAGTGAATCCATGTAGTGGAGGACTGCCGTGTTAACACGAGATGTGGATTTGCAAATATTTTCTTCTGCTTCAACCTTGGTTTTGGTTTTCTTACACGAGACGTGAGAACTAAATATTAGTTGATATATTCATCCACAGTTCTTCGGAACGATCTAAGCTAAAATTACCTAGCATCATTGAGAGACCAATACGATCCTTTTCCTTTCTCTCCACTTTTCCTCGGCACTTTTTTGAACAGCTGATTGCAGGATAAGTTATGCCGTATTGAATTCTGTAAACAGATGTTCAAACTAGCTGTTAGGAGAAGCTGGTTGTATTTTATGGGCGGAGAATTTATTATATTCCGGTAAATATTGTGGAAGGCTAAATCATTGAGAATCAATCTGCCCACTATGTCATAGAACAATTAAAATCTTGCCTACTCAGCACTTCCTAGCTTAGATATTATCGCATAAAATATTCAGGAACTAGACAACAAGATTACGTTCTCAAATCTTTTTCGACAAATAGTCCCTTTTTATTCTAATGCGCATGACAAGAACTTTTGTATTATGTAGCCCGTTTCATAGTATAAGATCATCATTGACGAGATATTGGGATGAAACCTACAGTAAAATTTCACAATTTGTAACCTTCTATAGTAGCCATAATTCCTTGCCTAGATTTTTATAGAGAAAACTATGCATTTTTTGATGGTGATAGCGAATATCACTTTCGGCATATTTTGGCGATACAAGTTGATGGTAAAAAAGAGGGCAGTTATGGGTTCTTGAACATTCGTAAACATTGCCAAAGGAGACAAGTGGGTTTCAAATAGTTTTTATTGGTTTTGCGACCTGATCTTCCAGGAAACTTGTGCTGATCAAGAGCATTAATATCAATGATTTTCGTTTTTTGACTTTTCTATGGACAGTATCTCCATCGCGCAACAAAATGCATCATATGTCTTTTCATGGATTCATTCTACCTTTCTAGTGTCATAGAAACGGCTTTGAAAAACCCTTTATCGAGACCCAATTTCCGGGCAGGTTTTCCAGACTGTTCCATTTTATATTGTAGATGTTTGCTGCCCCAAAAATCAAAATGTTCCCAGCTGAGACAATATTTAGAAATGTTTACTCTAAAAATCTCTCCGTCAGATTCTGCAAAACCTCAACAATGGGATCAACTCAAGCATTTCCTGTAGAGAGAACAAAAAATGAGCTCAAGTGCAGTGTTCTTGCTTCTATCAAGAAAGGAAATGTCATGGGAAAGAGTGGAACCGAAAATGCACTAGAAAAACATGCATTACTTTTGCACAAATCATTGATTTTGCGCAGTCTGCAAGCAAGCAAAGTAGAAAAAAGCTTTGGAAGATCTAAAATCTGTCTTTCTTCTAGAAATATTGATCTAGCTAAGCTTTTACCGATCATAATTTAACTAGTCCATGATATGAGTAGAAATGAGAATTATAAAATAAATATGAATATGAGTCGACTGTAAGACATGCAGTCCTTCTGAATCGGCAGCCAAAATAAATTTAAAGTGTAGTGATAAATAATATAATTTTAGTCTCATAATGTAGGTCAGTAGGACCTTATGGAAAAACTCGATCCTTTGTCCGAAACTTCAAGAAAGCGACTTTCATGGAGCAATTTGACAAGACCTCCTTACCCAAAAAAACAAAGTATGTTCTAAGGCTTAACACAACAATGCTATGAAGGCAGCGGGGGTCCGAAAATTTGCTCGAAAAGGGGGGGGGAGTTGTCCGCGACATGAAATTATTTCGGAAGAAAGAGCAAGAGGTTAGTCATGTGTGCGGGAAAAAATTTTTTGATATGCTTCCTAACTTTTTAGAGGGACGAGGGATTATTGAAAAAGGGATATTTTACAGAGTATTCAATTTTCAAATCAAATATCATTTCTATTGCTTACATGTGAAAATAAACTAACTACAGAATCTCATGACTCACTTGATTATTTGTTTTGCTTTTACATTTGTTTTCTAATAAAATTCTACTGGGTGTAAGAAAATTTAGACATGCCTAGGAAAAGCTCCGGACACCCCTATCAACAAAAAAAAGGGTTTTTACTTGCATAGAAATTACTAGCTTTTGCAATTCTTCCCACTCACCTTCCAGGGGCCTTTAGAACTCCTATAGTATGCGTATCGTCTCGCAGCATAATCATAAATTTCAGATAAAGTGATCTTGTCCACTTGTCGCTCGGCCATCGCATCCATTATCAGTTGTGCGTAGCTCAACGGAGGCTTCAGATTCGTAGCATAGTAGTCGACTTGAGCGGACTAAGATGGTACTGATTTATTTACTTTTATTAGTTTTCATAATTCACTTACGGGATCGATAACGTGATGATTTGGATGATACGATTTCCGCTTCTTTTTGGGCACCGTTGGTGAGCTCTGCAAAAAAAAGCTTGATAAAAAACTGATGAAAGGGCTGGGATCCAGCGAATAGTTGAAAATGCAAAAAATCTAACTAAAAGCTGAAACGATAATTTGATTTCCATAAATCCAGCTCTAGAATGTCGTACTAACACATATATGCGGTGGACTCTTGTATTTATGATTTAATTCTAAAAACTCCATAGATTTGCAAAAATCAGAATAATAAATACTTGAACGATCAAGCCGTCCACATACCTGTCACGATTAGAACTGTCCTTGATTTAAGAGTAAGAAACAATGAAGTAGAACATATACTAAACCATCTATGAGTCCTAAGATTTTTCTATAGTTGTGAAAATTAAGGCATCAAGTGGCACCATCCCTCAGATAACGCAGCAAAAGCCTTCTCCTTTCTTGCCATTTTAGAACTACGAGTTTTCTAAAGTGACACCCCCCCCCCCCCCATTTGCTCTTTCTAGCATCAGTGAAATTACTAGCAGACCACAGAACCCAAATCTCATTATTCGAGAACAGCACGGGGAGTATAGACTATATAATCTTGAAATTGCCTACGAATGTTACGAATATAGGTTGAATTGCACAAGCTTGGGTAAGAAATTCTAGAAAGTAAGTTGTACATGAGATCCGGCGAACTTACGTATTATGCGCAGATAATCTTTTTTTCATCGAAAACACTGGTAGTAAATCAAGTTGGTTACCTTCTTAGGAGCGAGTAGAGTTGGAGAGCAGGGCGATGCAGCAATATTAAGAAACCAGTTCAGATCTGGTAAACCATCAGAATACAGCCCTACCATGAATCTGCAACATTTGATCTTTAAAATTCAAAAAATCAGATTTGATCTTGAATTGAGAGATAAATTACTTAATATACAAGCTGCAGTACACCGATGAAAAGTTAGAAAATGGTGTTCAGCTACTAGGAGAGTAAGGGTTCGGTCATACTATTCCTGTTCTTTCCTGACTTCTGTGATTACTGTAATCCATCATCCATGGAGCGCGAAAACTATCGCCTTTGTGTGGTGATCATAGTGATTAAACGCTGGGAGATGATATTTTGCGTACTTTAATTTCATTACATTGTATAGGTCGAGAAGAGTATAAAGTGAGGAATAAAGAAAAGTAAATTATGAAGTTCTGCTTTGCACATATGAATTATCGCGCTCCATGGATAAGGGGAATCACAGGAACCACGATAATAAAAGGAATAACGGCAGGCATCGAAGCAATCACAGGAATTGCAAGAATTACAAGAACAGTATGTTATGACCAAGCCTTGAAGGAGATAAAAATGAGGATTACTCAATCGTAGTTGAAGTCCTGTTATGCACACATAAGTTTCCGCGCTCCACGGATAACAGGAAGCACAGACTGCGAGACCGTACAAAATACGCGAATCAGAGAAGCACGGGAATCAAAAGAATCACAGGAATAATAAGGCCAAACCCTAATGCTTTCGTTCAAGAGTGAAATGAGTGAGGCGCGCGGAAATTGGGTCGAGAGATGATTCGTTAAAGCGAGGAGGGCAGGTGCATGTGTACATATGCACATACGACGACGACGGCGGGGCTACCGGAGCGGGGGGCCCCGTCGTTCTCGATGAGGTGGCTGTGAAGCTCGTTAACGTGCACCTGTCAGGCAGATCGACCTACGGCGTTACAACGCCTTGAGTCCTTCAATGGGCAACGAACGCGTATCGCGTACCCTCTCCCCCCCCCCCCTTCCCCCGTAGCATGATAGAAGACCCGACAAGCGCATGGTCATTAGGTCAGCGGACACGAAATTACTCATTACGGGGTTCGCAAGCCGTTAATGCCGTGATCGCACACCTTGAATGAGTGGCTGCTTCGTCGGCGGGGCCCCGACTAGTGGCGCTGATTGTCCACACGGCCAATCAGCTCTGTGTTATGCTCTCAATGAATATTTGATTTATTGCAGTATGGAACATGAACGGACAACTCTCATTAGCATGCTATACAGCTGATAAGACCAAATAGCTAGATTTAGAACGCTATGGCGTGTATGGCTTAGTTATAAAAAGAAATTCATCCAAGCGTAATGACCTCACTTTATCTGAGTTTGGAAGCCTCAGTTTGCATGGTACAGCTTGTGATAGAAAGCCAAGGTCAAGAAAGACTACCATGCGACCCAAAATTACGTTGATAGACTATTTAGAATTTTATAATGAAGATATAGAGGCATATATGATATCGGGAACCATTTTGTAGCTCATGATCTCCTCTTCCAAACGTTGCATAATTTCATCAAAGACTTTTCAGAACGACCTCCTTTTTTACCGGTACATCTAGGTGGTCTGTTTGGAAAGGTCGATTGCTTTCTAGATCATTTTTTGCGGAATTTCTCTCAAGGTTATGGCAATTTCTACTCAGCAATTAGATGAGGCTCAGAGCATCCTTCTAATTTGAGGTTTGACCATACAAAATAATCAGCACGTTCCAGTCAGATTTCAAAGTTTGTCTCTTTCATTCTTGCCTTAGTTGAACTTTACCTTCTCTCAATTCGGCCATTTTACAATCAATGAATTTTTTGTAGGAACAAAACGTTTTGCGCCGATTAGAGGAAGAAAAGGACATTTTATGATTTCAAACTTTATTGATAAACATTTTCATATAACAACAAAATTTTGAATCAATGCTTGTGTCAACGTAATTTTGGACATTGAAAATTATTATCAATTATTAGAAAATTCAATACGAAGCATATAATTGTCAGCAATGCTACACAAAATGCGTAATAAGCTTCATTATGCGTCTGCATCCTCAATGGAATTGCTGACAATACAAAATTAACAGACATCTAGTATGATTGCAGGAAACATCGCAATAATATATGAGACTATTAGCTGTGTAATTATTTGGTTCAACGTTGTTTTTGTTGCATAAAAAGCATATCCAGTAGAAACCGCATGCTAACCGCACACTAATTAGTGCTCATTAATGAGAGTCTAGTGGTTTCGTGAAGCCATAAACAAACGCAATGACTGTTATTAGGCTTGAAATCAATGTGGGCTGGTTACTCAAGGGGAAGTGGAAACAGTCAGATAAACAGTAAGCTTGAGTATTTTCAAATTTCAGAAAAGAAATTGTGTGCGCCGTAGGTAAGTGCTGAAAAGTTTGAAATAATTATTTTATACATGGCAGATGTGAAAATATCATATGTGACAATCAAAAAATGAATAATGAAGACGATTCTCTACAAAAGTATGAGCCAAATGAATGAAAAAAAATCTTAAGTATAGGTTTGCAAGGTGGAATGGGGACTTTGCCAGACGTATTGAATGAAGTATTTACGCCAGCCGCTGGTCATTCGAAGGCTCTCGGCTTCCGGACTCCATCGAAGGGCATGTAATTGCTGCAAAGCTGTTCCCATTCGGGAAATTCCGCCTCGCATATTTCAAGTTATTTCTTTGAGCCCTTTGGAAATTCCAGGATGCGGTTTATGCCGAGTAATACATTAAACTGAGGATTACAAAAATCAGAATAAACTTTAAAGTACAAAAAAGCATTAAATTCCTTGTATTCTTAGCTAGATTTCATCAAACATCTTTCACTACCAAATAACGCAAATTTTGTCGTTATGTTGCAAAATCGAGTTCAAAGACATTGATTACCATAATCTTCCTCTAAAATATGCGTCTAAATCTAAGAAAAATTACAAATGAAGGAGGCTCCCACTTATCTTTTTTCCATGATAATGCAGAGGATTCCACGTGATTCCGAAAATGATAAACTTACCCACATACAGCTCATACGGCTCAATCAGGCTAGAAAATGTAGCTCTCTCGCCCAGACAGTAAGCTTTGACAGCGAAACAGTCAGCGTCTTCGAGGGCATTTCTCGTTAAGATAGCTAAGTTTTGTTTGATTTTTAGGCCATGAATGAATATGGGCTGCTGTTTTAATGACTCGTTGTTGGAATAAGGGATCTCAATCAGCATTCAACAGGATACTGTCTTTGACGCAAAAACCATTTGCATTCACCAGATCCTTCCTGTATGGGGTGTTTTTGCGCTAATCAACAGAGATATTCCCCGAAACTCAACTAATCCATTGGAGGCTTCGAGCACGCACTTGCACATCCCATCTTCAATGCTGTCGGATTTTTTCGAAGTAGCGCAAAAATTTTCATTTGCGTTATTGAACACCTGGTGCTTTCTTGAGAAGTCTTTGAAATGATCGAGCTATGCCTTTCTACAATTTTACAGGGATCCAAACTTTGAGCAAGAGCTGAGAGCATGTTACGACCTTCCTTTTCGTGTTTTCGCACCACCGGAAAATCTACAGATTTTAGAGGATAAATGAGACCGCCCGGAGAATACTAATCGTTATTTTGCAAAAGAGGACAAAGCTTGTGTTTGAGGATGCGGCTTTGGAGTTGATTGGACATGTTCTAAGGACATCCGAGCATCGCTATTGGAGTTTGAAGACTTTCTTATGAATTTATACTTTCTGTTTTTTTTTGTAAATTTTGCTGCGAGCGCAATGCGTTTCAAAAATCAGTAAGGTGTTTTTTGAGTATGTATGCGAATGGTATTTAGTACCATCACGGTAAAAGTACGAAACAGCCGATGACAATTTTTTATAAATTACTCGAGAACACCAGCAATGAATGCAACTCAATAAAATAAAAAGCTCTACTACGAAGCTTTTTCGGAAGTGTTCAGAGGCTGACTTAGGGATTCTACATCAGAAAACAATATCTACTTATGAGGAAACACTTCACCGCCACAAGATGAAGCCTTCATCAACCAGACTTGCCTGTGGCACGCATGAAATAAGGAGAGTCCACAAATGTTTTGCAAAACCCAGTCTCTACAAATCACACTGGCGACAATTTCGCTCCAGCGTTAACGGCGAAACCATCGGCATCCCTTGATGGAGTGCCGGAACTTATGTCATGTTATAGCAACATTCACTAATGCCATTTACCGAGTCGCACTACACATTTTGGATTTTGCAAGTCCGAAGTGTAGAAATTTACGATTTCCATAATAGCAAAAAGAATAAATTTTGATCCGTACTAAGCAGTGTTTAGAATGGATGTAGCAAATCTTGAGTTGCAACTATATTTTATACTGATCAGCTTGAGGTCCTTATCCTGTAATTAGCTAAGGGTTACAAACATGAAATAAATATTAACCATAAATATTAGTACACTTTGCTCTGTATTTACATTATGCATACAGAAAGCAATTTCAAGCCAACCCCTTCAGCTTCAAAGCCATTTTAAAGCTTCTTGCACATAGTCGCGTTAAGGCAAATATAGACTCTGTGATCTTATAACATGCTTCAAATAATGCGTCCAATAGACGTTGTCCTTTCCCAATCAACTCTCATGTGGGACTATAGCGGCATACTCTACAAAACACTTGGTAAGAAGCTGCAACTGCTTTCGGAACCTTAGTTATAGGTAAAATCGCGCTAGAACAACAGCCAAGCCACTCTCACTTGAATAACGTTTCCGACCAGTCATTCGAGTCAAAGCAACCCCAAGCCAAACTTTCATCGTGCTGAACATGCGGAAGAGGTCCCGCGAAGATTTCCTCCGGGCGGTAATTAGCCATTCGGCAAAGCTCATCCATTGCGCGTGTCATCGATCCACCTTTTCTTAGCGAATAATAATCATAAAGAGTAATTAGATCTGAAGCAGATGAGCAGGAAAATAGTCTTGTGTTGAATAATAACTAAAGAGTAGGGAAGTTGTTGTTGACTTATGAACGTCGAAAGTGCGGGTGGATGTTGTGAAACACGTCGTACTTAGCTCAACGTAGCCGATCACTGCTTTTCTCTTGGGAATGTTTCTCTCTACTACTCTTTGTAAGCGTCGCTATCCATTTTCAGTGTGTATGATGTTACGGTCGTTAGAGTGTTAAATTGTGATTGAAATGGGTGTTTACGGGTACTCTGAATGCTTAGAATCTCCCGATATCACCGACCATGTGTTCGTTCACATCCATCTTTCCAAGGATCCCATTTTTTCTGATGTAGTGCCTACCATTTTTCTTCTTGGTTTTGAATTATCTATGAATATTTCAGCCGGGATAGACAGTCACACAAATGCTATGGGATCGTGGCCGTCCCCCGAGGAGGTGGCTCGCCAAGGTCTTCGGACCGCTACGGGTCATATCCTCGAGAATATCGGGTTTTCATCTGTGTCTGGAGAATCTTTGAATGTCCTTACCGATGTTATGCGACGATTTATGGTTGAGCTATGGTCTCGAAGCAAGCTTTTCGCCGAACACGGTTAGTTCCTTAATAAGGCTTTGATATGCATTTGTTTTTGTATCCTGCTTTTTTTTCTTGGTTTTGCACTACTTGTTTGTATGAATCAGCTTAGATGAAACGGTGATTATTTGAGTACAAACATTGTTGTTTCTACTCAATTTGTCATTGTCGTTGTCGAGAAGAACAGACTCATTATCCTCAGTTTTGATTGAATGGTACCCTGTTCTTGTTAACGGCAGTATCTCAAGTACCATGTAATGAAGTGCTTGGAAATTTGAGCCGTGATCGTATTCATCAACGATCCTGAAGTTGAGATCTACAATGAGGTAGAATTATCACCCGTATTAGCAAGAATTTCCGTTTATTCAAGGTAGATCTCAACCTTAGGTCTGTTGATGAATGCGGTCACGGATGAAACAACAACGCATGTTTTCAAAGCAGAACAACGTTATTATTGAAACTATATCAATATATGTCTGGAGTTCAGCCTGCCGAACTGAGATTACTCCCGATGATATGGGTCTCACCTTCAGCCGGTTGAAATTTTCCACAGTCGAAATGCGCGATTATCTTTTACAAGTGGGGAATGTCGGTCAGCCCAGGCCGGTATGCTTTTCCGTCATTCTCGTTGCTACTTACATTAACTGTGTTTGTATATCCTTCTTGACTTCTTTATTTTTGTTTATAGATGTGTCAGTTTCCCATTCCTCACCCGAATGCAAGACCATTATTTGCACCTCAGCCGAGCGCAAAGGAGCTCGAGGTTGAATAAGCTTACTTATTGCCTCCTTCTTCAAATTTGTGCGATATTCAGGATCGCCCAGCTCATATTCCCCCATTTTATCCAGCTGCCCATCCAGAATGGACATCGGACGGTATTTATTGCATTTTAGTATAGTTTTAGACAGTTTTTTGCATTTAACATAGTGTTTAGGCGCTGACTATCTTGCTGTAATGAAGCCCTCGACATCTGTGGAAAAGAAGGGGTAAAAACCCCTATTTCACGTCGTTATTGCGCGTGATTCTTTCTTATTCAGAGGCCCTGCTGACTTTCCTGATTTTTCAAAAATGGATGCCAAATCGTTGGGTTTATTGCGGCGTTGTCACGAAGAGCCATCCTTTTTGGACCCTAGCAAAGATCACAGCTCAGCCACAGGTACATTTTCAAATTGTTGTTTTTCTTGTGCATTATTTTGCTTTCATTTTTTTTTGCTCTTTTTTTTGGTACAGTAACGCTTCCTCCTTTTATGTTGCTGTCTCCTTTCTGATCATTGTCGAACATTTTTAGGAATTCAAAGTAGCGCCAATTTGTCATCTTTGAAACTCCAACAAAGCAGTAGTAGTGAGATGAATGTGAATACCTCAGCTTTACGGAAGAAAGGGAAGGGTAGCAATAGCCATGTGAGTTCTTCTGCTGTGTCTCGATTGAGAAAAATTACATACTGATTTGAAGAAGGACCTTCACGGCGTTTATCCCCCATCTCCTGTACCGTCCCCCATTCCGACGCACTTCAAGCGCACTGAGCAGTCAACAAGTAGATCAGAGGTAGTACAAGCTTACTCTTTTCGTATTCAACTCAATCGTATATTAAAATATAGTCACCTTCCTCTCGATTGACTGTAACACTACCTCGTAAGCAAGATCAGAAACCATTGAAATCGACGCCTGTCAAAGTAAAGAAGGTGGGTACGAAGGTTACCTATGTCTATGATGTAATTTTAAATTTTGAGATGTGCAACTCAGCTTTTCGTCTCTGTATGCTATGATTTAGGGCTCTGCGGCTGATGCTGAAACACCGAATACTTCTCCGATGCCAAAACTCGAAACTCAGAATGCGGGTTCGTTCATATGACTATTTTTATTTTGATTTTTACTTCATAGCCCTTGCTTCGCTAAAGTTCGTATTCCTTGTTTATTGATTTAGTCCTTTTTTCGAGTTTCTTCTGTTTTCTTTTCTGTTCACACACTATGCTCCCCTATGCTCGGAAAAAGATTTTGTTTGTACCTCAATTTTGTGTCAAAATCCTTATTGCAACAAAAACTCTTTTGCTGTGGGGTAAAACCTCATATTGGATCATTGTAGAAAATTGGGCTTTTTTAATTTGCTGGTCCTCTTAGGTTGATATTTATCAGTTTACTTTTGCCTACTACATATTCATACCGTTTTTTTTAAACTTTCAGCAGAAAATACCTTGACAACTCCAGCAGCAGTAGCCTCAGCAAGAAATTCACCCGCTCCCAAGTATGTTATATGATAAGAGGCTCTCTTGTACGAGCTCAGGCTTCTCTTTTTTAGAACAGTACCTCAACGACCTGTCGCGGAGGCTGAAACTGCGTTAGCATTGCAGAGGTTGATCCGAGGGTTTTTTGCTATGACAGTATTTGACGCAAATCATTTAGTTTTCTGCTTGCCCATGTCAAAGAAGAAGTGAAGAAAGAAAAGAAACAACGTGAAAAGAAGGGGAAACAGAAAGAGAAGCGAAAGGTTAGTTTTCATGAATTACGCATCACATCCCTTTATATTATGTGTCGCTCTGAGAAATTATTTTTATGTACTTGCGTTTCATGCTTATGTTCTAAGTTTCGCATCACGTTATCTGGCTAAGTCTTCTCCTAAAAGTGTAGGTCTGTCGATTTTTCTTAGTTGTTACAGCAAGAAGAACAAGAGCAACTTCGCAAGCAAGAGCAGGAGATTCAAGAGCAACAACGTCTTGCTGAAGCACAAAGACTGGAAAAGGAACGGATAGAGCAGCTGCAGGCTGAAGAGAAAGCTCGCCTTCATCTGTTAGAACTTACCCGGGATACCGCCACACCACCAATGAGGGAAGTTCCTGAAGGTAGCGCTTTCATTCTTTATTGTATTTTGTCTGAATTTTACTTCGTTTTTATTAGCATCACCGAAGTCGCTGAAGATCGTGATCAGTAATCCTCATAGCGATTCTGCCAGCTCTGCGTTCTCACCTCCGCGTAAGAGTTTTGTAATTTGTGCACGTTGTCTCATCAAAAATTTATTGCTGCAGCTTTTGATAATCTCCTTTCAACATATTTCAAATCTCAATTGCTCTTGTTTTCCTTTTCACCAGACTTCTTTATAATGCACATCTTCTCTCCATTTGCAGCACAAACACCACAAGCTGCCAGCGAAGTACGCCTTATTAGCTCTCCAACAAGTAAGTTGTTCGGCACAACATGCCAGAAAGAATTGCATAAGAGGCCTACTCTCGTTTAGCTGATCCCCACTACGACAATGATTCGGATACCATACCGTTCTTCGACGATGCCGTTCCTCCAGTTACTGACGAACCGGCTGTACCGTTGGTAACGGCATTTCCTTCCAACATCGACATGAATGAACCCGCACCACAGCATCACAAGAAGAAGAAAAAGAAAGATAAGGACAAGGTGTGGTTTTATCTACTCATCAAATTACTGGCATCTTCTAATTATCTTCCTCTCCGTCTTTTATGATGCAATCACTCCATTTTTTTCTGAAGTTGCAACCTCTCTTCCACAGACAATGTCCTGTTTATTATGATTTGGTTATGTTCTGTAACCAAGCCATCTTTGTCTTGTATGAAAGCCTCCGGATATAGCACAATGCATTATCGCTAAACACTATGCTCTTTTTGCGCAGCTTTACAGCTCTTCTCGCAATCAATAACTCTTCATGAAAACAGTTCTTTGCTTAGGAGAAAGATCGTTCGAAATCTCCCCATAAGAAAGATAAGAAGAAGGACAAAGAACACAAAAAGAAGAAAAAGAGGAGAGAACACGAGAAAAGCCAGGAAAAGGAGGAAGGCGAACGTGAGGAAAAGCTTGTGAGAAGCAGCTTGACTACTAAAGAATGTGAGTAGTTTCTTATTTTCGTTTTGTTTTTCGTAGCCGCTTTTTTTTCATTGAATTTTTACTTAGTTTGTCCATAATTATTATCACCGCTATTCCAGCCAGTCACGAACCAAAGTTCACGCTCAAAATTCGCATCGGTGATCAAACTTCAACCACAGAAACGGTTGCTGAGCCCAGTCCACAGCTAGAGACTGTCAAGATCAAATTCAAGAACCTGCCTATGTACGTTTTTTCTTAGCATCTTGTTATTTGTATAACCTTGCTACCCTAATTTCACGAATACAAGGCGCGGTGTTTTTTTCTTCTTCTAAAGTCAACTAGCCCAAACGCGCCAAAGGATTTCGCTATCACAGGAACTTATATCGTGCTACGTATCACCCAAGATCGTACAGCCACAACGATGAGGCTGAGCGGTCATGTACTCGTGGGATCAGGGTACTTTACTAATGAAAGACCACATATAGGTCGTTTGTAAAATCGTACGACGGATTTGACTGCGGTCTTTGCGCCCACAGGAGCAGAAAACTCTCATATAAAACTACATTACCTCAACTTTCAGCTCAGTCTCTTCCAATGTTTAAATACTGTCATATGTAAGCAGAGAACCATTTGAGTTAAGATGAAAACCTAGAAAATGCGGTTGTCGGGAGGTGCTTGTGTGTCGCGCGCGGTCGTCATCATCACGATTTTTCGGATGCCCTATAGCTTTGTGAAATGTGCGCACTGTTTTTCTCTGAAGATATCTTTCCATCTTTAGTAGTTTTTATCGAATTTTTCTCCAATATTCTTGATTTTTAATCATGTTATGGAGTCGATGGTTGAGGATTTGCGGACCTATGCTGCCGCAAGTTCCCTTTTCCTTGCTAAGTCTTCCTTTTCCTGAAAATGGGAGTTTTCACAGGGCTACCTGACTGGGTAGTACGGGAGCGCGACATGGCTTGGAAAGTTTTGCAAGATTTCCCATTTCAATTTTGATTGCGGTCAGCGTTGAGTCCTAGACAAAGCTAGAACTTACCAAAGACTTAGAAAGAAGGGAAGACATGGAAAATGTACAGTAGACTGAGCTAAGCGACTGTGTTGTGGCCAACTTTTTTGTGATCTCTTAGAAGTTCAAAATTATTATGACACCAATCCAGCTTATCGCTTGGAAGCATTTAATAATGAAAGTGTTTGAAAAATTATTAATGTTCTATGTCATCCCTGGTTTTTTCTTCTATGTTTTAAGACGTGATGGTTTGATTATCCTAATTAATCAAACTTGTCGAGTTCATGAGGCAGGCTGTATTATGGCGCTATGTTGTCTACATTCAGTGTTCGCACTTACCCTTTTAAATCTTTTTTTTCAGCGAAGAACCCAAGAAGGAGGAGCAGAAGACTGTGCCACCACTGAAATTGGGTTCATTGTCTGCTCAGAAAGAGGCCAATGAACAACAGTCTAACCATTCTGAGCCGAAGCGGAAGTTTTACACAAAAGCTGAGGTTCGTTCTTCTTCTGTTGCCATTGGCTTGATTTTATTCAATTGTTTTTTTTCTTATCTTTTTCGAAATATGCACACAGTGGCTGTATGCGAATGTGACCACTGAATAGTTAGTTCTCAGTATTTCTATGAAATTTTGATCACTATGCGCAGGAAAGGCATTTGATATTGCCAACGCTTTGATAACATCTGTGGGATGAAAGAAACTTATTTTCTCTGCTCAGTTAGGTCATTGCTTATCGTCATCTGGAACTGACCATTCATATGGTTGAAGTGGTTTTCATATGATGTGCTTTTAACTCCTTATGAATGCTGATAAATACCTTTCTTACTTTTTCAGCTGAAGGCTCCGCCCACGTTGTATCCCAGTTTTTCCTCCGAAAAGCATAGTAAAGAAGAAAGAAAACGCAAAAGGAGGGAAGATGAAGACAGGAAACGAGAGAAAGAAGAACGTAAGCGCCGAGAAAAGGAGGAGAAGCGACGTCTAGAACAGGAGCGTGAGGAACAGGAGCGAGCTCGCAGGAAAGAGCTAGAAAATGAGGAACGGGAAAAAGAACGGGAGCGTGAGTACGAACGGGAACGGGAACGAGAACGTGAAAAAGAACGCGAACGGGAGCGGGAACGTGAGCTTGAACAGCAAAAAGACCGAGAAAAGGAGAAGGAACGCGAGCTTGCCGAGCAGAAGGAAAAGGAACTACGAGAAAAGGAGGAACGTGAACGGGAGAAACTGCGACGAGAAAAGGAAGCACAACTGCCTCCTCCCGTGACGGCTTTCGTCAAAGCGGGTTTGTCGATGCGCTAGTAATCTCACTTACAAAGCTCGCATCAAAAACTTTTTTAGAGAAGAAAAAGGACAGGAAGAACAAAGAGAAACGTCGAAGTAAGGAAGAGAAAAAGAATCAGGTACTTGCTTTTTCTGGTAAGTCTGAGCGTTAAGTTTATATTGTTAAGGTGGAGGTGAACACTCCCGTTCCCGATGATAATTCTGACGAAGGAGATGACGATAGTTCGGATGTGGTCAGTGCATAAGCATAGCGGTTTGATCCATCCAAAACAATGTGGTTTTTGCTTAGGTGTGGATATGCCCATCGTGTTCTGTAGCGTGGACTGAAGGTGCCACTATGGTGTGCTGCGACATGTGTGACAACTGGTTTCATTGGTTCGTTCTTCCGTTTTTTATTCTTTATTTTGTTCATTCGAAATTGACTATTTTTAACCAGAGGTTGAGCTAGTGGTGAATAGTTATCACAAATTTATCTTAAACGTATCTGCGTGATTACTTGTTTGGTACTGTGCCTATGGAAAGAAGAGTTGTTTTTTTTTCTTTTTGAAGCAAGATTTCTTTTACGTGGTTACCCACAACTCCATAGGGTTGTTTCATACTGCAGTCGCTGCAGTCAAATCGGCGCGAGCAAAAGATATCGACCGATTGACTGCCGTTGCTGCAGCGGCTGCAGTATGAAACAGCTCATACCCTTCCTTCTCTATCAGTCACCTGAGATGAAAGGAGGAAGTGAGGGTGGAGGATGGAAGAGAGGAGGCACAGAGGCAGGAGTTTTTCATTCTAATAATAAGATTGAGCTTGACGAGATACGTTTGGCTTTTCTTGTACATTTTTGAATGTTTTTTTTTCTACTGTAGTTGAAAACTTTATAGTTGAAAAATTTACTTCCCTCAAAATTTAAGAGTGGTGACTGGAACGGGAGATCGTTTTGCGTTTTGGCCTAAGCTGGAAATTATCAATGTAGAGAGAGCAGTTAGATACAATTGGAGCAGTGTAAAAAGAAGGTAGAAAAGAACCAATCACTAACTTCTTACAGGCATTGCGTTGGCCTGATTGTTGCGCCAGCTGACGATGTGCCCTGGTTTTGTCAGAAGTGTGCCGGTAAAAAACAAAATGAAAAGTCGGGTAAGCGTCCCGGAAGTAAACTGGAAGGATCAATTCGCAAAAGAAAAAAGCTGCCGTGATTTCTTTAGTCTATGGTCGTGTTTTAGGCGGAATACATCAAAAATCTGGTCATTACTTTTATCGATATATAATTTTTAACGATTGTAAGTTTTAATGATCTCAGGTAGAGGTCGTAGGTAGCATAATGTGATATTTCTAACTGTAAATGATTCGTGTTTCATTTTTTGGCATTTCAAGAATAACGCAGGGCTGCACGATGCCGTTAGTGCTATTAGTGAAGATATATGTTTATATATGTTACCGTGCAGAGCCCAAATGTTTCTCGCGTTGTGATACTCGATATTCGCTGTTTTAAGGTTATGAGGTCATTCGGTCTTTTTGTGCTCAAATTCATGTGTTGTATCCCCAATGCTGTTGAATTCTGGATTTATCAATCTTTATGACCTTTCATGATGCAGGTATTATTTCAATCAAAGTTTTATCTTCTTTTTTCTGTGTTGATGGTCACTATCGTAAAGCCAGGCATCGTGTTTGCATTCTTGTTGTTCGCCACGTCCTGGCTGCATGTGCATATAGGAGGGACGCACAGGAGCGCGTTTTTGTTTGAAAAGGTATAGCTCCTGCGTGTCCGTGTTCCATGAAAGCTGCGATCAAAGTCAGTAGAAGCCTGTGCGCTCCAATGAGTATCGCTAGTTCGATCCCATTACATAGTTCTTATATCCTCTATCCTCTACCCTGACACGTGTTGTTACGCCAACGCTCGATTTGCTCTTTGATTTGCCTTTTTTCAAAGTCAGTTTGTTCTTGATTTTTCTCGGAAAGAGTTTGCAAAGTCATTCATTGATGTGTAATTATTTTCAAAGTGCCACTAATGTTTGATACTGAGGTAAGAGATGGTACTCAGATGTTCAACGTGTTCTTTACACTCATCATTCAAGATATTCTTCGATCAGAGACGTCGATGATATCAATGACGTTATTAAAGAAGGAAGGAGGAAGGGGCAAAATTTTCGTATTCAGAATTCGCTCGCATATCGTGGAGTGCATTTTTCATATATGAAGTGCGTGAATGGTAGCGTTCGAACATATCGACAACCGCTCGATGATTGAAAATCACGGATTTTTTTTTTATTAATTGAGAAGAAGTATCCATCATTGCATTAGTAGAGGACGTTACTTCTACCAATATGTGTTATATCTCTGCAAAGTAATCGTACATACTGCATAATGTTTTGGGTAATCTCATCCTGGAGTCGAAGGTTTAATGCTGACGAAGGCGGTCGGTTTATCTTGCGGGGCGGGTGGCGCGGTTTTAGAGCATCTTAAAGGCACTTTCACCCTAAGTTAGGGGTGTAAGCTGTTGGCAGCTTACGACAGTAGAGCCCCTAATCAAGCCAGTGCCAAAGTCGCAGCGCAAAACGTCGCTTCGGAAGCGAGTAAATCGCTTCGGAATAGCGAAGAGGCATGAGGGTCAAGTCGGCACCGCCCCTTCTTCGTAGTGCCCGCCCCTCCGTGAGCGCCCATCCAATCACCGTCTTGAAGAACCGGCCTGCGCGTTCGCCGGAGCGAAGTTGTCAAGATTTTCGCGGATTCTCATCTTCGAATTCGGAAGCGACATGAGAGGGCTCCGAAACAACCAAAAAGAAGCCGAGAATCTGGGTGGACTTTGATCACCCAGATCCCGATCTTTAATCATTGAAGCTCGCCCGCACATGCTTCGCTTTCATGGCACCCGCCTTTGTTTAAGAATAGCCTTTACCATTCATAGATCGAACGTCATCGCGCACTACTGAGCACGACATGATTGAATTAGTTGCAAACGATAAACGTGACGTTAAAGTGCAGTTTTTTTTTGAAGACACGCAAGGAAGAATATCAGAAGCTTCTTCTGAAAATTTTGTGCAATGCAATGGTGATCAAGGTTGAAGGCAGCGACTCGGCAATGACACTTTGGGATATTCATCGTTCTCGGTTCCCCTGGACGAGCTAAGTCCAAGACTGTTCTTTGCAGCTTCAAAAATATCAATAACCGGCTTTCCCAGACGTGAAAAGTGCTATTTGGGCGGACCGCGTATGTCTGCCCTTTAGAGTCCGTTGGCTCGTGGGTACGGTAGGTACGGTGTCTTCACTTATTCATCGTTCTCGGTTCCCCTGGACTTAGCTAGTCCAGGGGAACCGAGGACGATGAATATCCCAAAGCTGTCTTTGCCGAGCTGCTGCCTTTAAGTGATGACAAGAGCGAGTTCTTTCCTTAGAGTTCCTATCCCCATCATCAAAAATATAGAAACAATGATTCTCAAATCGCATCAAGTATTTTACAGCTGTGGACCTCGTCCGATTTTTAAAGGTGCAAATTATTCTGCTTTCAGAACCTGCACTCTCTTCGAGGTCTTTGTTGGAACTCGTTGAAAGGAGAGACCTATGAAAAAAAGAACGGCTGTGGTTGGGGTATCATCGTTCAATTATTACGGCTCGCAAATATACTTTCTTGTTCTAAATTTGTCTAACAAATTGGTAAACCATCTTAATGGGAAGATTGAGAAAATTAATCACACGGTAGGCTATATCTTCGCTGAGAATAAGAATGACTAGAGAAAACCGTTACTTTCTGAATCATCATTCAAGTTCCCGCGAGGACGCGAAATCAAATGTGAAAGTGCTTTACATGGTTCGCAAGGATAAGGCAGTGAAGCCACAAAGGCAAATATCAGGCTGGCTAATAAATAAGTTCCGTGGCTTTTGCGGCATCTACAAATGCTGCAGGCAAATTTTTGTCCAACGTTTGGTATGAAAAGAGGACCCCAATGAAGTGGAACATAAGATTTGTTTGAGTAGAATCGGTTATCAAAAAAGGCGCAAAGAAGTGAAATAACTAAAGTTCTGCGCACGAGAAAATTTCTTTCATTCAATTGTAGGGGATTTCAGTATGGCAGATCACAAATTTTATTGTTACTCGCTGAATGGAGAAAACTGGTGCGTATACAATTAACGAATGACTCAGCTCTATATCCATCACAGCATAAAAACGAAGCTCAGAAAACCAAAACCGAGCTTCCAGAAATTTACCCATGTCGGAGCATAACTTCCTCTAACGGTAGTAGAATATTCTGAGTGATTGGGGCTATCTTCTCTATCTCATCTGTTTACTGAACAATGTTAAAGGCATTTTTCTGCTTTCACTTCAAATGTTCAGGTAGGGTCTAAATGATCTAAATTCGTAGTAAATACGAATTTGCTTCAAAGTTACATGCCCGAAGGTCTGAGGTATATTTAATGTACGTATTTATTGCATTTATTGTTAGTTTATTGTGTTTGTTTGTTGTACATAAAAAGTTAATGGCAACAGCTTTGAAGCTACCCTGCTACCTTAGTTGTGCAATAAGTAACCAGATTTTATGCCATTTGAGCTCAAACATATGCCTATAACATTGTTCAGTGAATCGTTAAGCAGATTTTGAATTCATATACGTAATCAGCATTGCAAGGCATTCATTATGGTATGCATTTTACTGGAGTAGGTCACTACGAGTCAGATACCTTCCTTGTTCAGCTGAAATTCCCTTAAAGGATTGTCCTCTACCGCAATCGGTCTGCCAATTCTGATAGAAACTTGTTCATCAGATGAATACTGGAATAAGGATAAAAGGTGATTCCTCTCCGCAAAGAATTTACGTATTTGCGGATTGCCGCTTGGAAAAGGATTTCATCGCGAAACGTGCCCCGTGCTAGAAGAGACGCAGAAGTCCGCAATGACGACCACGCCTTCCTTTTTCTGAAGTTTCGGGGGGTTGTCACAAAAATTTTGAGAAGTACTCCAGAAATTTTTTCGGAGTGCGTGGCTAACGCTATGCGCCTTCAATCGAAAGATTTCTTATCGCATCCCCCCCCCCCCCCGAACGGAAATCTTGGGTACGCCGCTGGGTAAGTGTAAATATAGGGTTAACTGTACCCGTTGCCTTCGCTTCACTACTACTTGCTTTTAAAGCATTGTCAGTTACTTGTATAAGCTCTTTATCAAATCTTCAGCAACCTATGTATTATTAGCTTTCCAGTTTCGAAAAAAAAACGGTCGCCTACTTTCGTACACCAGTTCTTGGAGAAGCTACATGCGTCGGCTGCAGTCCCTTTGAAACATTCAATCTAAAGTAATGTAATCGCTAGAAAGCCACTTAGATTCAGTATTGAGTATCATATTCCATAACTTATGCTATAGTTAATTGCGTCCGACTGCACTTAGCTATATTATCGACATGAAATTCAAGCTGCTTTTTTCAAAATCTCAAATTTCACATTTGCGAATATTCAAGATGCTTTTGCGGAGTTTACATGGATACTTAGTTGGGTACGTTTTTGCACGTCTACCTTATGCTTTTTGGCATGCGGTATCAAATGCAAGGGCTTATATCTTATCCCACCACTAGCATAAATAAGAAATATGAGACATTTGCAGTTGTCTGCAATTAGTTTTATGCACCTTGAGCACGAATTGAATTATGCTGCTTCCAAATGCATTATGAGGAATCGCGAGATGCCAGGATGCAATAGATGCTATAGGATATTACCTAAGGTATTTGACGGAGCTTTTCTTGGAAAGAGCAACAGGTAAATGTAATTATTGTAACATGTAGTTTTCAAAGCTAATGTAAAAAAAAATAGAATTCGATTTTCAAACTAGTTTTTGCTGGCAAGCAAGTGGGCACGGGTAGCTCCATTGAGTTAGTTTTTCTCAAAGTTCTCTTATCAATGCCTGCTCGAGCAAATCAAGTGCTTATAATCTTCATTGGAAAATTTTCAAAGTTCTCCTGGATGTCTACTCGTGTTACACCAAGTGCTTATATTTTTTATTGAAAAATTCCTTAAAGTTCTCCTGACAATGCCTGCTAGAGCAAAATGATGCTCATAATTTTTACCGAAAATTTTTTTCTCTCCTGGAAAGTTCCTCAAGTAAAACCAAGTGCTTATAAATTTTATTAAAAATTTTTGAAGTTTTATTGGCAATGCCTGCTCAAGAAAACCAAGCGCTTAAAATTTTCATTAACATCGCACTGGACCTCATCTGATAATGATTTATTAGTGTATGATCATGTTTTAGTTTTAGGTGATTTGAACTGAATAACTAATCTTGTTATTTGTAGCGCGCCTTAGAGCGTATGA